ATTAGGCATCGAACGAAGGCCCCCGGGTAATTGTACTGAACAATCCTAACCATGCCGACGATGACATTGGATTGTGTCTTGCATTTATTTGTGACTGTGACAAGGAAGCTCATATCGATGACCAAGTTTTAGTGCCAGTTTTTATTTTATAATAACTCAAAGCACAGTAGATTAATATTATAAAAAATACTACTTATATACGTTAAATGGCTTTAAGTGAGACAATATATTTTATTTGTAGACTTCCTATTCTTCCTCAGTGCGTATTGAGTATTGAGCGAATATTTATGGAATGAACAGAAGACGTATAGTATTTTCCTTTTTGAAACACCATTAATATCTAACACTTATTTTCAAGTATTTTATAGTGTCATAATGTGAATTCATGGTCTTCAAATTGGATTACTCACCTAGCCAATATTTCTGTACAAACCTCTTAGTAATTATCTTATTAGCCTCATATAATTTCAATTAGAGGTAGTCTTATCGAAATTCTCTGTTTTCATTTTTATATCAGAACACAATCAGTTTCTGTCAGGAAATTGTATATAAGATGAAGAGTAAATATTCTTACGAAACACTCAGTCAGTTGCTATCACTTTTTTAGTCTCTCTTGTAAAACCAACTAACCGTTCAACTATCGAAGTTAGACTGAAAAAATACTCTGCAGTTGCTATTAACTTGAGCAAACCGCTCACAAATCCTCCAGCTTAACTAAAAGCTACTTTAAGCCATCAATTTTGTCGATATTTCCACAAAGCTCACCAAGTTTTTTTTCACAAAATTGAACATACATATATACTTATAGGTAAAGTTTCAGATATCATTACTTTATGCTCGATTTTCCACATTGTTTCTTTTTCTTATTTACTTTTTCTTCTCTTTCTTATTTTTGCTTCCATTTCAACAGTTGCAATTTGCTTTGTTTCAAGTGTGTTAGTTACTGTAGTTATTTTCCTTTGATATTAACTTCAAGCATGCACAGACAAGAAATATAAAGAAAAGAGAGATAGCTTCACGAGGGAAAATCTCGAGTTAACTTCAGGTGTCTGCATTGTTCAAAGTTTTATGAATAGCAGTGCAACAAACAACTAAAAAGAAAGTGAAACCAGCAAGTCAGGTGACGCTAGAAAGACAGTCACAAGTGGTCGTCAGCGGAAATTGAAAATGAATGACAAAAGCGAGTTGTCGCTAGGCATCAGTGTCAACGCTAAGAAAGCCACATTTTATCGTTTGCTCGTATAACTGGCGCTTTCCCACAAACTCAGCAAATTTGCATGGCTCAGCAGCAGTTAAGATGTGACTTTGCATTTGCAATGAATTAAGTATGGACAATGAGCTTCACTGAGTATAGGGTGATTCGAAAATAAAAAAAATTTTCTGCGTTTCAAAACTGGGTGTAAACAGGTTATTCTCCCTGAAAACAGAATAGACTTGAAACAGATTCGTAACTGGGGTCTAAGCTTCTTTGCGCACTCAAAAGCCTGTGGTTGAAAAGTCTAGTTATTTTTTGAATAAAAATGGCATCACTCAGGTCACGTCAGGCTAGGTTAATCTGGTAAGCCAATGAGCCACGAATATACCAGTTTTGGGCCCTTGCAATAACAGATAAAGCCGATTCATGCCGAATTTTGACAATGATAAACCTCGGAGCTTATGTTATAATGAGAAAACAACTTTACATAACATGCCATACGCCTTGTGGAGACGATTTAAAATCTTTTCGAGTTCCTCCATTCATCAAATGTATGTATTAGTTAAGGTTTTTGTTCGTACTGTAAATCATAAGAAGAAGGCGATTAGCAACAAAGAGAAGCGAGAAGTGGATAATAGGTTTGAGGAAGCGAGACTTTTATATGCGATTTGCTGAGTCTTTATACAGCAGCACACGATTCCCTTCGCTCTCTGAGCAGCTGAATAAATAAGAGAACCGTTAAGTAAGTGAGAAAAATCCAAATATGGGAATAAAGAGATCGGTATATATAGTTGATGACATATATAATATTTCATGAGATACTAAGGCTGTGTGAGATTTAGAGTTTCTGCTTCGGATCTAGAGCTACTTCATAGCGTGGTTAAAAATTTCACAGATTACTTTATTATTAGTATTATCAATAATACTTTTTTATGAACAATATATTTGATCGCTTATTGATACTTTGGCGTCTAGCAAAATTATTTCGTATTAGGGATTTTAATCAACAATAATTTTTGTGTGCATTTATTTTAAGTAGGACACCCTTTATAGTCTCACATATTAATGTAGTTGACCAAGCCGATTATATAGACTGCCAACAGCGACCACTTACAAACTTAAGCTCTAAAAGAGCTGCAATGAAGGCTGATTAGCATTTAAAAACAACAAAAACAAAATTTTTTTGTTGTAAATATAATACTTCTATCAAGTATGACAGATGAGAAAGTGTTAAGAAGCGTTTGCTGAAGTGTAGAAATTGTGTGAAAAGCATGAAGCGAAGTGTACGAAGAAAATAACTTATTCAAGATTAGGAAAAGGAGGAGTAAAAACAAAATAAGAGAAGATGAGAAAATATAAAAATTAAAGAAAGAATGGTTGATAGTGACAGAAGAGAAATTTTTGTGTGAAAAAAAAAACAGAAAAGAGTAACAAATGCAAAAAATATATAAAAATTATGTAGAACGTAGTTGCACAAGGCGGTAGATAACAGTTAAAAATGTAGTATAATATTGAAAAAGGAAAAAGTAAAATTTACGCAGGTATTAAAGAAAAATATGTATGTATAAAAAATACAAAAATTAAGACATTGTAAATTGGTAATGGTTTTTAAAATAGCAGCAGCAAAATAAGATAGACTGAAGTAAAGTTGAAAGTACTGGAAAGGGTAATAAAAATGAGAAAAATATTTAATTTTTAAAATAATAGTCGTATTAAAAAATAATAATGGTATTAAAAAATGAAGCATACTCCTTAACAAGATTATCTGGCCAAATTTTAGAAAAAACTTGATAAACTATGAAATGGTAAGTGGAACGTATTTAAAAAATGCCAGCAATGGAACAAAAGATTTGTAAACTATCTATGTAGCAGAGTCTTTCGAAATTTTAGAAACATGTATAAGTAAATTAACAAGTATTACTACTAAAAAATAATCCAAAGTCTTACAAATTGAAAAAAGTTTAACGACGTAAACTCTTAATTAATATGTGGAATGAATGTACTTTTATAATGCTAAAACATAATCCAGCAGAGTCTTACAAACTGAAAAAATTTTAATCATGAAAACTCTTAATTAATATGTGGAATGTATCTTCAAAAAAAAAAAAAAAAAAAAATTAAAAAAAAGCAATTTAGCAGAGTTTTAGAATATTTTGGAAAAAGTTAGAAAATGGATCATTAGTATGTGAAATTTTTTCTTAAAAAAGCTAAGACACATAACATATGTTACATAAAATTAGAAAAAATGTTGTGTGTAAAAGAATATTTAATAATTATCTAGCTAAGTCCAACAATATTTTAGAATTAGTTTAGTGAAATAAACATAAACCATGAAAAATTATGTGGAATGTATTTTAAAAAAGCTACAAGTTTTCCTTATGTTAGTTAAATTATATACCGAAGTCTTGAAAAATTTTAGAAATTTTTTAATGAAGTAATACCATCAGATGATATAGGGAACGTATTTAAAAACAAAAATTTCAAATATTTCATCACGTTAAAAAGCAACCTAGCAGACTTTAGCAAAGTTAAAATAAACGAATTAATTAAATAGAATGTGGAACATGTAGCAAAATCTTTCGAATTTTGAGAATAAGTTCAACGAAACAAACCATCAAATAGAGAGTGGAATTTATGTTCAAAAAAGCTACAAATGTTAGAAGATATATCTAGCAGCGTCTTACTAAATTGAAATAAACCATAAGATGAAGGGTGGAACGTATTAAGAAAATTAATAAAATGCTACATGACGTTAAAAAACAATCTATCAGATTTTAGCAAATTAAACAAAAAAAAAAAAAAAAAAAAAACGGATAACAAAGTAGCATTTGGAACGTATTAAAAACATCCTAAACCGTTTATATTAAAAACTCTCAGCAAAGTCTTTAAAACATTTAAAAAAATTAAGCGAAATAAACCATAATTAGTGTGTGGAATGTATTTCCAAGACAGCTTCAAGTGTTGCAAAATGTTGGCGAAACTATCTAGTAGAGTTTTGCAAGTTTTTAGAAAAGAGTTTCTCGAAATAAACCATCTAATGAAATGTGGAACGTATTTAAAAAATGTTCAAAAAAATTAAAAAATGCTTCATGACATTAAAAGAACAATTTAGCAGACTTAAGCTTAATGTTAAAAAATGAAATAAGTAGCATGTGGAACGCATTTTCAAAAAAGGTTATAAATTTTGCATAATGTAAAAGAAAAAAATATCTCATAGCGTTCTATAGAATTACAGATAAAGCTTAACGGAGTAAATTAACGAGCTGTATGAGAAACGTATTAGAGATGTGTAGAAAATTGTTGCTTTAATAACAAAGGCTAAAAAAATTGTGGTTATTTTAGAAAACCCAGTAAAAAATTAAAAAATATAACTTCATGCGAATGTGGGACGTATTATCAAATGTGCATAATGTATAGTATAATGTTTCTGTAAAACATCTAAAAATTCATTTTGAGTAAATATTTTATGAGAAACTGTAAGCTCATACACGTAATTTATACAATACAAAAAAAAATATGTATTTTTCTCAAACTCTTACAATTTGCTTCACAACTAGCAGTTCCATTCTGCTAAGGGATTACTGCAATTAAATTTTAACTAAACTTCGTCACAATAAGCGCTTTTCTGCTTAACTTGCATAATTGCACTCTGAAACCACTCAGTTATAGCCAAAGAGTCAGGAATGTTGACGGCAAAAATTAGCTGGAAATTCGAATTTACACAATGTAGCACACAAGAACATCCACACACGCTTATACAACTATATATTGCTTACAGCGCATTCTCGCCAGTGTAAGTACTCACCCGAACTTTCCGCACCGTCTTGCGGCTGTCATTCTTGATGTTCACCGTCACGCAGACATCCTCACCATGCGTATACCAGGCCTTATCGAGGCTTGCCCGCAAGCCGACACGTCCATCCTGCAAGAGGAATGGCTTGTCCACGGCACCCTGTGGTCCACCGCCACCGCCGCCGCTAAGCGCACATGCTGCATTACCGCCAATCACACCACCGACCGTGCAGCCGCCACCCGGCGAGGCGGTGAGTGGTGCGCCGCTAATGCCACCAACGCCGACAGCGCCGATGCCACCGGCAATAGCAGTGCAATCGTACTATAATCAATACAGACGAGGCGGCCGTTGTTGTTGTTGTTGTAGGAGAGGAACGACGGGTGGTTGCGACGCGCCGCATTGTGTTATTGTAAGGATTTGCGAGTTTAATTTTTGTTGTTGTTGCAGTCATGTAACGAGAGCGTGTGGGGAAGAGAAAGCCAAAACGGAAACGGAAATTCGATTAGTTGCTAAGTATTAGTAAGTCTCACTTGTCGTTTATTCATTTATTAGCTACCATTTTTCAACTTGGACACAACAAAGTCTGCACTCCCTTCCCAGTCTCTCTACACTCCCTTCTTGGTCTCTCTACACCCCCTCCACTGTTCCCACTACATACTGTCTGCAGTATATTTTCCACTGTTCTCCACCAACATCTTTTGGTATTTGCTTTGATAAATACATGAGAGTTCGCTTAGTCTGTCGGTTTACTTTTCACTATTGTTCGTCATTCTTCCATCGGCAAATATTGACTCAACTCAACTGCAATTGGCATTTTTGTTATCCTCTTACAATTGTTATGCCCCAAGGCGTCCAGACTGTGACCTCTTCGTTGGCTGGTCTGTTGAAGCCTGTGCTTTTATATTTATTACCGCTAACATGTGTACTCACTTATGTGTGCGGCATGCAACAAATTTAATACTAATATAAATTGATAATGCTTTACCAATATTTTAGAGTTTAGATTTTCCTATGTGTATGTATGACACAGGGTGACCAAAAAAAAACTGAAATTTATTGGTTAACTTGATTAAGTTGGAGGGTTGAGTCATCTGTAGAAGTTCACCAAAGTGAGGTAGTTCTCTGAAACAATCATTTAACATACATATGACTTATGTAGTTCACGACTTCCGATCTTAGACCAAGTAACCTCTGGGTAGCCGTTTGAAGGCGAGCTAAAATGAGAAGGCGAAACATCCATTCCAACGATGGTGATAATCTTTCTATATTCTGCTATAATTAGTATATTCTATAACTTTAAGAAAAAGCATTCGCTATTCTTTCAGACGGGCTTCTAGCATGCATGCTAAAGGTTTGTTTTTGCTGCGAGAAATTTGCTCCTACCTCAATGTAAGAACCTCGAGGAATCCCGAGGGAAGTGGGATGCAGTTATCATTTTCCGACCTTCAATCAGAAGCGTCCATCTCTGATCAACATTTTTACGACAGCTCTGTTATCCCGACTCCCTAAGAAACTACAAGAACTTCTGGAGTATCTAAAGACAAATTTTAAAACTTGGAGAATACCTTTTCATAAACAGTCTTAACGAAAACGTTACCATAGCATTAATTACCTCGAACTGATCGGGGGTTTCTGAGGACTATTTCTCATTCTGGTACCCAAACTAACCTCAATAATGAATAATCAATAATGATAAAGTTCTGGCGATCTTCATGAATTTAACCAATATTTCAAGAGTATCTGTAATCGTATTTTACATTACCTTGACCTTGACTATATAACACATAAATGTTATCGATACGTATGCGATATGAGACTTTCTAAGATGGTGAGCCAGTAATCGGATGTGTTTGGTAGAAATGTTGAGACGTTCTCAATTAATTTCTGAAGAGTATAGAAGCAAGTCTTTTGCGATATTTTCTTTTGGATCACAAACTGTTTGTAGGTAATGCGAATAGGAGTAAAGCTAACAAAATAGGTTTCTGCTGAGTCTCAACCCTTGGGAGATAAATATATACGTGAGAAAGAGTTTGTATTAACTCATAGATATTTACCACAAATTATGGTGTTAGTAATCTCTGCCACTCTAAATTGAACGTTAAACGTCTACTTCTTCTTTGGTAGTTGCGGATATCTTCTTCTTTATTGACATAGACACCGCTTATGCGGTTATAGTTGAGGTACGTTATCTACTAAGCTAATTTCAAGCAACCACTTTCAGTTGTTATATTTTTCTTTCGGCTGCTTGATTTATTGCTATCTCTTTATGACTCAAGCTCACTATAATTTTTATTGCTAACATCAAATTTATGACCTTTAGTTGGTATACTTCAATATGAAGGGTAACTTACATTTAACAGATACTGTAAATTATAATTATGGCAGACCAGACAAAGTGGTTTGTTAAATATTACTAAAACGCATATGAAGACAAATGTGGTAAGTAAGTGAAACAATAGCCTCATAAAAAAGTCAATGCGACGGTCAAGGTCAATGGGTTAACTTGGAATATTTAAAACTGATGATTTTTTGGCCTCGAATTACTTTCTCTAATAAAAAGTCGAAAAACCTACGAAAAAATGTGGCGACTAACATAAGGTTTTAAGAGCGTAGCACACTCTTTTGATCTAGTGACTCATGCCCAGGGAGAGAGAACATTGATCCAGTTTGCTGAATGGCAGACGCTCCATGGGCCAAACTCGAAGAATAACAAAAAGGCGGCGAAAGACGATGAATTTCTGTCCGAGCTATTCAAATAAGTTGGTGAGGAATTGATAAGGTGCTCTGCCTAGTTGACATCACAAAAAGGGAGACACCACAATCTGAACCAAATACAGTGGGATAAGCCTCCGTAACAGCGCCTATGAAGTTCTGTTCGACCTTGTCATTGTGGCTTTAGACCTGGAAGGCTACAATCGACCTGATTTTCACCATGTGCTAAATCTTGGATCGACACACACCTGCTCTACGTCGATTTCAAAGCTGCTTTTGACAGCACGTAAAGAGCTGCCTTTACGCCGCGATATCTGAACTTTACCAATACGGTTGTGTAAACCTGCGTTGAGCAATAGTAAAAGCTCTATCAGGCTACCAACTGAAGTTTCAGATAAGAGGACCCTCTATCGGTCGACTTCGTCAATACACGCCTGGCGAAAACAATTAGAGCTAGATTTAGTTGGTTCATAGTTCAGCGAATTAGGAGACAGGGGCTACCCTGTCTAGGTCATCTCGTCCGAATAGATGAAAACACTCCAGCTATGCGAGTATTTGATACAGTAATCGTCAGTGGAAACAGAAATTGAACTGAAAGTCTGAGCAGGAGCTTGACCTATATAAGAAAACTGTATAACTATTCGCACTATTTTGAAGAGAGTTCGTCATTTCTTAGGTTGTCTGAAATTGGTTCTCAGAGGAGCAGCACTCCAATGTGAGTCCATTTGTATGCCTTTAGTTCTGATGAGTGCTTTACTTTTTTTAAGAAAAGTTCTTTAAGTCTGGCTGTATATTCTAAGAGAAAAAATATTAGGAATTCGTGTAGTTTTGAGACGATAGCATAGTGGTTGCAATAACAATACCTTATCAAGTTGTGATCTATGGGTTCCTCAGTTCACGTAGCTGGATGTCGGTCTTAGACGGAGAGATCAGGCAACCTTATAAGTATTAATTTTTGTCCAGCAGGCGACTGTATTAAGAATATAAGTGTATTCTACTAATAGCAGTGATTTCGAGAGATCTCGGCACACTTTCCTATGGATATGACTACATCTACATCTACATCAAATCTTAATCCCTATCCTTGTGGTAGTATCGTTTGTATGTAGGTTTAGTTAGCTGATATTTAAATGCTGTCTGAAATATCCTTCAAATTTCGTTTTGTAGTTTAAGTCACCGACAAGCTCTTGTAGTCCACGTACACTTTCTTTAATATCTTATTCCTTGCCTTATTTTCTCTTTATATACTCACCTCTTGAAACGATTTACTATAATTGTAGAACGGATCGCTAGGACACTTCTCAATCTCGCTTTTACTGCGTCCAAAGCGACCGCTAAAGCGAAAAGACTTGGGTGAGAGGCGCAGCTTGGGAAACGAATCGCCACGCTCCGACTTACGCGGCTTGGCGTGACTTTGTGTGGTTGCAGCTGAACTGGCGGTGGTAGCACCCTCAAAACTCGTATTACTATCAGCGCTGCCGCTGCCGCCCAGCATCGAAGACAGGCCGGGTGTTGTGTTGCCATTTTGGGCGTTGAGCGCGCCAGTACCACCAAGCGTTGCGGGCGGTGATGTAAGCGCCGCAGTCAATGGCGGCGAGGCGCCCTGATTGTTGATGAGCGCAGCGAAATTCTCCGGACCGTTGGACTGCTGATACACATCGGTGCGATAGATAACGCGCACACCCATTTTGACTGAGGCGCGCCGGTGGAATTTCTCATCTGTTTTATCCGCTGAAAGCAACAGAAAAAAAAACTTATAAATTGTGTGTGCTACAAATAGGTTAAGTGCGGGTGTTGGGAGCAAGTCGAAAGTAATCGATAAACGTAAATCAATTCCTGCGTAACAAAACACGGTGGTGTAGGTGTTAGAGGGTGTCAGAAAGTGGGCGTTTAAAAAATGGCTTGTTGAAAAAGCAACGTTGCGTGCAGTTAACGAGCCATTCGAATGGCTTTTAGCATTTAATGGGCTTTTAAGCGGCTTACAGCTACACACCGGCGGCTGGTCTCTTTTTGTTTTTGGTTTTTGCTTATACATGCCATTTTATGCTAACGGTAAATGTTTGCAAGCAGTATGTAGCAGCAGCCGCTCCGCGCTACGGGAGAGAGCTGTAACAAAATAGGTTTGCGGTCTTTGGTCGCTTGAGCTCCAGCATTTGGTAGCTTATGCGTACGCACATTGCATGCCACCACACTGCCGTTGCAATTTCGTGTTTCTTTGCTGGCTTTGTCAACCCTTTGGCGCTAGATTGCTAGGTTGTGTTGCCAACTGACTCCCGTACTTTGCAACCAAAAATCTGGGAAGCTAGGTATGCTGCCGACTGAGGTATGTAATTGTGTAGGTATGTCTGTTTCAGGTACTGTATAATTGCCGGTAACGCGGCAACATGTGCTCACGTGTACGCAATTTGAAGTTTCTTCTCCACTGCATGCAATTTTGTTAATTACTGACCTTTTTTGTGGTCTGTGCTTAGCGGGGTAATAAGTCGTGGAAGCTGGCTAATCTTTTTGAAAAGCACTAGAAAGCTTTGTTGTGGATTTTATTCTTTGGCAAGAATGGAATAGATTCATTAGGCTAGATTGACAAATTGTAGCGTTGAATATATGCAATAAATGGACTAAGCTGGAATAAGTTAGACGAGTTTAGTTTCGACTGGATATGTATTACCACGCCCATCACGCAGCATGCGAAATAAATCATTCGTGACTGAGAGTGTACATAAAGACCGTGGAGAGCCGATTCGGCGCCGTTCACAGCAAATCGGAGTGACTAATGGACTGATAGGACGACTTGGCGCATTTTTCGTTGAAAGCGTACAAAATACAGCTTGTGCAAGAACTGAAGCCTACCGCCCTTCGCAAGCGACAACGCTTCGCTCTTAAAAAGTTCCGAGAGTATCCGTTCTTTTCGAGCCAAATTTTGTTCAGCGATGAGGTGCAACATTCTTGGCACAATGAGTATGTATACAAGCAAAATTGCCACAGTTGGAACGAGGAGCAATCTGCAGTAATTCAAGAGCTAACATTTTATTCACCACAAAAAAAAAAAAAAAAGTGTAGTGTGGTTTATAACCTAGTGCAATAATCGGTCCTTATTTCTTCACCCATCAGTAGCGACCAATATCGTGCTATGATAACCGACTATTTGATGACTGAAATGGAAGCTCGTGATCTTGGTGGGAGATCATGCCCACACATATCGCATCAATCAATGAAATTATTGAGAGAACACTTATGTGAACAGATATTTGCACGTTTTGGGCTGGTCAATTTGCCACCAAGATTGTGTGATATTACACCGTCGGACTTTTTTCTGTAGCGATTTGTAAAATCTAAAGTCCCTGCGGGCAATTTCGTTTCGATTTATCCCTAGTATCATTCGCCAGTTATCCGACGAAATGCGCGAACGAGTCATCGAAAATTGGACTCAACAGATACAGATACAGAGACATAGCCGCGGCCAACATTTGGAAGAAATTATTTTCAAGAAATGAATGATATCGTAATATAAGTATAAGTCTGGCAAAAAATTTAAATAATAGCTTAAGTTGATTTAGGTCATGGTAAATATTTTTTGCTATTCCTTGTACATATGTATTTGTCGCGACCATAATTATAATTCCGAAGCATGAATTCTCGTACATATTTTGATAAAGCATAAATGAATAAACAACTCGTATTGCCTCCTCACAATTAATTCGACTTAAACCCGTCTAACATATTGCCACGAATTGAAGCGAATATTTGCGTGCACATTTGCATTTTACGAGTCCATTTGCTGGTAGAAAATAGTTAGTGATTTTGCTATTTCAACAACGCATACAAACCAGCAGCGCTACAATCTCTAAGGCTTTCGTTTTCAATCATAATCGAAAAGTTTCGAAAATCTGTTCGAATGCATTTACAAGCTCAAGTATTAAAATGGGAGTTTAATAAAAATTTGAGTGTTGCTTTGCGTTGCGATTTGAATATTTGTTTATGCCTCAGTGGCCACAATATTTCCATCGCTTGTGCGAATGTGGCAGCAAAAGTGGTGTGGGCATGTGGGGTTCATTGCTAAGCTTTATTTTTGAGCAATATTTTGGTTTGCAAGTTTTGTGTTTATGACTGTGTGATTTGTATATACATAAGTGTGTTCATTTGTAGTTTATTGCTGAAATTTGAAGTTCGCTGATTTTAATATTTATTTGAGATTCACTCGTATATTGTATTTAGAGAAGTATCTATTGACGATTTCAATTAAATGTGAATATATGTATTGTTGAGGCAAATATATTGCAGTTTTAAACAAATGAAACTAAAATAAAGAGATTTAAGGTTTGAAATAACTTTAGACATTTGTAAAATATGTGTAAAGTATTAAAAAACTATTTCTTATTTTGTTAAGTGAAGTTTAGTTAGATTATAGTAAGTTCTAAAATAGACAGAAACTTAGATACAATAAATATCTGTATAAAATCAGTATAAAAATCATAAATCAGTATAAAAATTAAGAAAAATATAACATGTTATATATTTTAATTTTTTTTTT